AGACCCAATAGCACCCTATATTAGAAAAATGATCCAAAGAGGATCACAATGGAGTTTCATCACAGTAATATAACCGTCTTCTTATATTGTAGGAAGGAGCTGTTTTAGCACCTGGCCCAGTGACAGCAGCTGGACAGTGCTGGAAGTAAGTTTTCTGATGATAAAGTGAAGTCAGTCTTTTGGTAACTGTGCCCCCTCGGCACAGTCTGCTGAGTGAAGGCGCCCTGGAACAGCACAGGTCTCGTGATCAGAGACCTGTCCTCCTGGCCCACCCTGTTCATTAACTTGACTGAGCCTCACTGTGATTCTTGAAGAGTAAGCCTGCCTTATCTGAGAATTAATCACCTCTGCTGACCCTGGATGAATCAGACAGGTGAAATGTCCTCTGGGTTTAAAGTTCTCCTGAGATAAGTGAGTGGCTTTTCTAGCAAACAGCGTAAAAGGACTGAACGAATCTGTTTCTCCAGCCACTAATTTACAGTAGATACAATGTGAGTCATTGCCAAGTAAAGGGGATTTATTTGGCACCACGTAATGAATCTAGAGGAAATTGATCACTGCTTTGAGGCAAGTGCTTTTCCTACCAGGACCCTGAATGCAGACAGTTTCTCGTTAGCTCTGTTATTAGAAAGTGAAACTAATTCTTGTACTTCCACGAGATTTGCATTTTGGGGGGGCTAAGATATGATATATTTAGATTTCTGGATTCAGTATGCATTTATGTCAGTTTCAGTTTCATCATAAGTCAATTAAGGCAGAAAAGGGCCTTGGAAAAGCTGTCTAAATTATTTTTTTTTCTCCTGAACCCTGTAGAAGAAACATTTCGCAACCTCCACCCATCTTCCAGAACTGCCCAAGGTCAAGATCTTCCACGTTAATTTTCTTAATACAACTATCATTATCATCTTGCTTGGGTCCCGAGCACAATTTGACATGGTTAGTCACTCTTCCTTCAAATAGTCTTAACCAAGGCATTATTTTGTGTGAGTGTCTTTTCTTCATTGTCTGGCCCTCCTCCCTGCCCCTTGTTGGGTCTTCTCTCTTCTGGACTTTTGTACTTTGTAGTACCTCATGACATGGCCCTTGGACCTCTCTTCAGTAATGGCTCATGTACACCCTTGATGACCTCATCCTACCTTTTGCCTTTATATAACACCTATATGCTAATGATTCTCCAGTTTATTTCTCCAGCTTCTCTGTCTTCCTTGGTCTCCATATTCATAAATCAACTCTATTTAACAACCCTATTTGGGAGTTTAATAAGCACCTCAAACTTAACATCCCATCCAACTGACTCCCCTTCTTCTCAGTAAATGGCAGCTGTAAGCCAATACCTTCGTATCATTCTTCCTTGTTTCTCACGCCCCACATACAGTCTCTCAGTGATAACCGTGCCTGTATCTTTGCCAAAAGTCTGGCCAGTTATCGCTTCCACAGTTGTCATTCTGGTTCCAGCCGCCATCATATCTGGCCTGAATTATTGCAATAAGCTCCTGATCTCTCTGTATCTAGCCTCCACTATCATCTATTCTAAATAGAGAACATTATTTTAAAAGTGCAAGCCACACGTCATTCCTTTGTTCCAGATTGTGTATCTCACTAATAGGAAATGCTCTTTGGAAAATTCTAAAAGCCTCTGGCAATCTCTGGCGTCTTCTCTTGACCCTCTCTGATGATTTAGACCTGCTGGCTTTCTTCACAGACAGGCATTCTCCTTCTTACCCAGTGTACCTTCCCTACATCAGATCTTGGCTTGGAGGTACTCAAAGAGAACAAGCTGACCACCCTCTTTAATGTTGCCTAATATTTTCTGTCCTCCTTTCCTGTTTGAGTTTTCTTGAAGGTACTTAGTACCATCTGGTTTGGTAGTACACTTTCTATTTTTAACAACAGTTTATTTATATAAGGATAACAAGTTTCATGTATTTCATATACACAGATTTAGGAGCATAGTGATACTTCCCACCCTAACTTCCCTCCCACCCATGCACCCATCCTTCCTCCTCGTCCTTTCTTGTTCTTTCAATTTTTACAATGATATACGTTCAGCTTATTTTATAATCAAAAGCTTAACTCTCACTAAGTAGGGAATTCAACAAATAGTAAGAATAAAACACTGTTCCTCAACAGTAGAGACAAGAGCTATAAACTATAATCAAATCTCAAAATGTCAATTTCACTCATATACATTAGATTTTTTGTACTCTGTAAGTTACAGATCAGGGAAAAGATATGATATTTGTCCTGCTGGGAATGATTTATTTTACTAAGTATGTTTCCAGTTGCATTTGTTTTGTTGTAAAAGGTAGGATTTCGTTCTTTTTCACAGCTGAGTACTCTATCTATCTATCTATAGTATATATACCATAGTGCATATATACCACATTGTCTTTATCTAGTCATTGGTTGATTTCATATCTTAGCTATTGTGAATTGAGCTGTAATAAACATGAGGGTACAGGTAACTCTTTCATATGTTGATTTCATTTTGTTTGTGTAAATTCCCAGGAGTGGGATGGCTGGGTCATATGGTAGAGCTATTTTCAGAATTCTGAGGAGTTTCCATACTGTCCTCTACAATGGCTGCACCAGTTTACATTCCCACCAACAATGTATTAGGGTATTTTTTCCCCACATCCCCACCTACATTTATTGTTTCTATTCTAACTAGGGTGAAGTTAAACCTCATTGTGGTTTTTATTTACATTTCCCTGATCTCTAGTGATTCTGAGCATTTTTCATTTGTCTGTTGGCAATTTGGATTTCGTCTTTTGAAAAATGCCTGTTTAAGTCCTTTGTCTGGCTAAATCTTCCAGAACTATATTGAATAGCAATGGTGAAAGTAGGCATCCTTTTCTAGTTCTGGATCTTGGTGAAAATGCTCCCAACTTTTCCCCATTCAACATGATGCTGGCAGTGGGTTTGCCATACATTGCTTTGATTGTGTTGAGGTATGTTCCTTCTATAACCTATCTGCTTAAGGTTTTATCATCAAAGGAGGTTGTATTTTATCAAATGTTTTCTCTGCATATATTGAAGTAATCATATGGTTTTTATCCTTAAATTTGTTAATGTGATGGATCACATTTATTGATTTGCATATGTTAAATCATCCCTGCATACCAGGGATAAATCCCACTTGGTCTGGATGAAGGATCTTTCTGATATGTTGTTGGATTTGATTAGCTAGTGTTTTGTTGAGGATTTTTATATCTATGTTCATAAGGGATATTGCTTTAACTTCTCTTTGTTGTATCTTTCTGGTTTTGGAATGAAGTTGATGTTGTCCTTATGGAGGAGTTTGGGAGGCTTACCTCCTTATCAGTTGTTTTGATTAATTTGAGAAGAATTGGAATTGGTTCTTCTTTAAATGTCTGGTATAATTCAGCAGTGAAGCCATTTGGTCCTGCGCTTTCCTTTGTTGGGAGGGTCTTTGTTACTGATTCAATCTCTAATCAATGTTGGTTATTGGTCTATCTAGGTTTTATATGTTTTCATAAATCATTTTTAGTAGACTGACTGTATTGTTCAAAAACCTATCCATTTCTTCTAGATTTTCCAAGTTGTTGGCTTATAGCTGTTTGTAGTAATTCCTGATGATTCTTTTATTTCTGTGGTATCTTTTGTTATACCTTCTTTTTCATGTCTGATTTTACAGATTTGGGTCTTTTCTCTTTTTTTGGTCAGTTGGGCCAGTTGTATTTAAATTTTGTTTATTTTTCAAAATATCAACTCTTTAATTTACTAACCTTTTGTATGTTTTTATTTCAATTTTATTTCTTTTGTAATTTTTATTTTTTATTTTTTTAAAGATTTATTTGTTTATTTGAAAGTCAGAGTTACACAAAGAGAGAAGGAGAGGCAGAGAGGAAGAGAGGTCTTCCAACCACTGGTTCACTCCCCAGTTGACCACAATGGCCGAAGTCGCACCGATCCAAAACAAGGAGCCAGGAGCTTCCTCCAGGTTTCCCAAGCTGGTTCAACGGCCCAAGAATCTGGGCCATCTTCCACTGCGTTCCCAGGCCATAGTGAAGAGCTGGATCATAAGTGGAGCGGCCAGAATTCAAATTGGCACCCATATGGGATGCTGGCATGGCAGATGGTGGCTTAACCCGCTATACCACAGCATAGGCCCCTGTAATTTTTATTATTTCTTTCCTCCTACTAATTTTGAGTTTGGTTTGTTATTGTATATTCTAGGTCCTTGAGATGCGCTGATAGATTATTTATTTAATGCCTTCCAATTTTTTGATGTAGGCACTAATTGCTATAAGCTTCCCTCTTAACACTGCTTTTACTGTATCCCATAGGTTTTAATATGTTGTGTAGTTATATTCATTTTTTTCCAGAAATTTTTTTTATTTCTCTTTTGATTTCCTCCATGACCCACTGTTCATTCAGGAACATGTTGCTGTCTCCAAGTGTTTGTGTATTTTCCACATGCATGCAGGGTATTTTTCTTTTTTTGTCCTTAAAGTTACACTTTTTCTAGGTTAAAGCTTTGTTGAACTCAACAGTTGGATGTTCAAAAACATAACTTACCTACTCCCTAACTCTTTGTAAACCTCCCTCCAGAGTAGGACATCTCCTTCCTTTCTGAGCAAATCCAGAATAGCATATCTGCTCACATGAATGTAGGTGTGATCTCTTCTCCCACTTCTCCAAATGTAGCTGTGGCCCAAAAAATAGCTCCTTGATCCTAGTTCCTCGTCCCTATCCCCAAAGATATCTCTTGTCCATTCCTTGCCAGTCTCCTTCAAATTCCATAGGTGTCTAATAGGAGTCACCTGGGAATTCAGAATTTGTACTAAAATACATCTTGAAATCTGAAATCCTGGTTTCACAGAGTGCATGCAGAATGAGGTAAATGGAGCCAAGCCCATTAATGAGAATGATAATGAACTGACCTTTACACTTCTGATTATACCTATAAAACAATTATTGCCACCATAATGGCGAAATTCTCCACAACACAATGGTTCCCAATAGGAAGCACTTACTCTCACGCCCATGGTTGCCATCAGCTGTACTAATGTAACCTCGGCTGGCTGAGCAGCTCTGATACAAGCTGTGGGTTGTCTGGGCTTGGCTATCAGCTGTATTTTGGATTCAGGTCAGCGACATGTTTCTCATGCTGGGACCTAGAATGATCAGGCAAAAGTCAACCAGGGCTTGCTCCTTTGTAGGCAGATCACTGGAGCGTAAGAGAACGTGTCTACCACATCAGCATAGTGGAGCCTGCCGCTTCCATCATGTCTGCTGATTTTCCAGTAGCCAAAGCATGTCACATGGCTAAGCCATGAAGGCAGGAAATAAACTCCACTTCAAAGGAACCGTGGAGGGCACTGCCCATTTTCTGAATAATAACCCAGTCCAATTCAAACTGGCAATGCTTTTGTAATAGAGCACTTTTGGTTTTGGAATCAAAATGCACCAAATATATCAAAATAAATGTCAAGAAGCAAAGGAATGTCTAGAGCTGAAGTCATGTATTGCATGTACATATGCACATGCTCTTTTCGCTTGCTTACCAAGCACACGTATTCTGCCCACATGGCCGTGGCAGCCTTGCTCTTACTTCAGTAGCAGACATCAGAGCTGCCTGGGGTATGGACTCAGGCTTCTCCAGGTGGAGGAATGGAGGGGGACACCTCCTCAGTTCTTTTTTTTTTTTTTTTTTTTTTTTTTTTTTTTTTGACAGGCAGAGTGGACAGTGAGAGAGAGAGAGAGAGAGAAAGGTCTTCCTTTGCCATTTGTTCACCCTCCAATGGCCACCGCGGCTGGCGCACTGCAGCCGGCGCACCGCGCTGATCCAAAGCCAGGAGCCAGGTGCTTCTCCTGGTCTCCCATGGGGTGCAGGGCCCAAGCACTCGGGCCATCCTCCACTGCACTCCCTGGCCACAGCAGAGAGCTGGCTTGGAAGAGGGGCAACCGGGACAGAATCCGGCACCCCGACTGGGACTAGAACCCGGTGTGCCGGCGCCGTAAGGCGGAGGATTAGCCTAGTGAGCCGCGGCGCTGGCAACCTCCTCAGTTCTACATTTACCTCCCCCTCGGCCAGGGCAATCAGGTACCGCCGCCTTTAGTTCTTCACCTGAAGCTGTTGAACAGAAGCGACTGTGTTGTTCCTCCTCCTCCAATGAATCAACCTAGGAACAAAAAATATACTCCACATTAGGAGAGGCTACATAGGGAACAAAAGGGATTAAATATTTTTCACTTTTAAAAACATCTACGAAGCCGGCGCTGTGGCTCACTAGGCTAATCCTCCGCCTAGCGGCGCCGGCACACCAGGTTCTAGTCCCGGTCGGGGCGCCGGATTCTGTCCCGGTTGCCCCTCTTCCAGGCCAGCTCTCTGCTGTGGCCCGGGAGTGCAGTGGAGGATGGCCCAGGTGCTTGGGCCCTGCACCCCATGGGAGACCAGGAGAAGCACCTGGCTCCTGGCTTCTAACTCTGCCTGTCAAAAAAAAAAAAAAAATTGTTTCTTTCTAAATAAGATCGGAGTTGGCGAACTCAAAAGGCTTCCATAGCCGTGGCAATTCATGACAAGAGCCTAGGGTGGTTACTGATGCCATAAACAAGAATGTCAATTGTTGAATCAACAACAGGAGTCACTATGCACTTACTCCCCATGTAGGATCTCTGTCCTTAATGTGTTGTACAATGTGAATTAATGCTGTAACTAGTACTCAAACAGTATTTTACACTTTATGTTCTGTATGGGTGCAAACTGTTGAAATCTTTACTTAGTATATACTAAATTGATCTTCTGTATATAAAGATAATTGAAAGTGAATCTGGATGTGAATGGGATGGGAGAGGGAGCGGGAGATGGGAGGGGTGCAGGTGGGAGGGAATTTATGGGGGGGAAAAGCCGCTGTAGTCCAAAAGCTGTACTTTGGAAATTTATAGTTATTAAATAAAAGTTAAAAAAAAGAAAGAAAGGTAGGTATGAAAGAATACACGTAATCATTCTGCTTATACGAAGTTCTCAAGGCAGGTGAGTGGCTGGGGAAAAACTTCACACGAAGGGAAGGAAATTCCTTCCTGGCGGTCAGGAGACTGATTATCTCTGATGGGGCAGCAGCGCTCTGGAGAGAGCAGCAGGCCGTCCTCTGAGGCGCAGGGAGCAACGTGACACAGCGGTGTTTCCAAGGATGTGGTATTGTGATACGTCTTCAAACCAGAAATGTCTGTCCCTTAAACCATTCTCTGTAAGCATTATATTTCACTATAAAAAGAAAAAGCCTTAAAATGTTTAAAGATCCCAAGATATTTGGTCCTATAAACTTAATCTTATGCACCATAAAATTGGATAATAGCATACTTTGTCACTAGCGTGGACTCTAATTAATTCAATCCATAAACTTGCTCCGCCTTCTGTGTGTCTGGGTGCTTGTTTATAACTTTTTGAGTCCTTTTACACAGGGTTGTCTCTCCATATAGGACACACAGAAATCCTTCCAACCCTTATATTAGTGATGAAGGTTAAGCTGAAATGTTAGATCACACCAAAGGCCATTAAACTATGTACAGAAACTGCTTCCTAGATATTTCCAGCCCTCTTTTGGGTACTCATTTGAGCTTAAGAGTAACTGGATGGAGTACACTGGTGAAAAAATCCATAGACCCAACAAGGCCAAGTCCACTCTCAAATGGCACCTGTTTTCTTCTTTTTTATTTGACAGAGTTATAGACAGTGAGAGAGGGAGACAGACAGAAAGGTCTCCGTTGGTTTACTCCCCAAATGGCCGCTAACGGGCCGGCGCTGCGCCGATCCGAAGCCAAGAGCCAGGTGTTTCTTCCTGGTCTCCCATGCGGGTGCAGGGCCCAAGGACTTGGGCCATCCTCCACTGCCCTCCTGAGCCACAGCAGAGAGCTGGATTGGAAGAGGAACAACCGGGACTAGAACCCAGGGCCCATATGGGATCCCGGCACCACAGACAGAGGATTAACCAAGTGAGCCCCGGCGCCGACCCCATGGCACCTGTTTTCAAAATGAGGCGTCAGAGACTGAATCCAGTTTCTGAAGAGCCCTGTCAGCTCTGCCAAGAGCTAGGTCGCTGGAAACAGAACTGCCTGGGACAGAAGGACTCCCAGGTCAGTGTGCAGACCCTGCTGGCCCTCCTAAACTGAAAAAGCCCTTCATTCTGCCCAGCTTTCAAAGTGACCACTGCCATCGGGGACAGCCTAGGGTCAATGACATCACAGGCAGAGCTGTAAATTTCCCATTCGTGATGCCACCTATTCTACACTAACCTACTCATGCCAGCTCTCCTCCCAGGCCAGCCAGGTAATGGAAATCAACAGGGGGTCTTCCCTAAGGAGGTTCCCACCTCCCTTATGATGTCTCTTCCAGGACTCCATGTGAAGAGATAGACAGGTGTGGACCTCACATAACCTGGCCAGGCCTTAATGCCCACCTGATATTATCAGGCGCCTCCTGTCGGTTTCTGTTTGCCTCTCAATGGGAAAACTCCCTCCTGGTTTGGACGGCACCTTTCTTAGATCCTCTAATAATGACTCTGTCCTTAGTTTTGGACGCTGTGTATCTAATCTGCTTGTTAGATCTGTTTCCTCCAGACTTGAAGCAGTGGGCTTTTAGCTGGCCATGCTCGTGGATCCTAGATTGGAGACAGTTTCTGTAAACTGGGGCTGCAGCCCCCTTGAAAGACCACCTTCTGCTGGAACCCTGTCTTGACCACGGGTCCCTCCTCCACCCCTATTCAGCTTGAAGGAGTCAGAACAGAGCAGTCCAGCCAGAGTTTTTCAGAGGGAGGAAACGAGGGAGCCCAGGACCAGACGCAGGCCAGACTATCTCCACGCCACAGCTCCCTGCCAGCACGTACACACTAAACAAACCGGGAGCATTCAGGCCCACACCTGTCTGCACACTAACTGGACAGGACTCCCGCTTTCCTGTATCCCACTTTGTCCTCCTCCTGTTGGCCATCGTTTCCACCACGGCCAACGTTTCTAATTCCTCCTTTTATCTTCATAGTCATTGTGCTCCTATTCCTACTATGTATAAAGTCCTACAGGAGCGAGTGACTGCTGTATTCCAAGCCATCCCACAGGAACAACACAAGACTGCTCTTCAATGAATCCGATCCCGAGTACAGACACCCCGCCCTGAGTCAACCCCCAGATCAGCAGGAATGAGCCAGGAGGAAACCAGGGCTCCATCTCCTTATCTACACACAGAGTCAGGGCTGATGGAACAAGGACGAAGCCTCAGCTGTTTTGGGTTCTTGTTACCCCTGCCTTTTTTTTTTTTTAATTTGACAGGTAGAGAGACTGAGAGAAAGGTCTTCCTTCCATTGGTTCACCCCCCACCCCAAGTGGCCGCTATGACTGGTGCGTTGCTGCCGGCGCACTGCGCCGATCCGAAGCCAGGAGCCAGGTGCTTCCTCCTGATCTCCCATGCGGGTACAGGGCCCAAGCACTTGGGCCATCCTCCACTGCACTCCCGGGCCACAGCAGAGAGCTGGATTGGAAGAGGAGCAGCCGGGACTAGAACCCGGCGCCCATATGGGACGCCTGTGCCAAGGCCGAAGATTCAAGTGAGCCTTGGCACCAGCATGGCTCTGTTCCCCCACCCCTGCCTTCTTTCAAGGGACCAGTTCAATTTCACACCCTGTATTGTTTCTGACCCCACACCTTGCATTCTTCTGCAAGAAGCCTGCAAAAAAACTTGAAAAACCTGTATGGAGAAGCTCACTTCCACCTACTGCCCCCCACCCCCACCCCAGCCCACCTAAGATATAAAATGGCCCAGCCTGCTAGGGTCTGGGCTCTCTGCCATGCCACATGTTTGGTCTGTGTACATGCTGGCAGTTGGTTGACCTCTGTGAGTTTATTTTCTTTGAATAAATTCTGTCTGGTTGTAAAAAAAAAATAAAAGCAAGAAAGAAAAGAAAAAATCTGTAGGTAGTATTTAAAGATAATAAAAGACAATCTCGTCTTTTTTTTACATATTCATATGATTTTTTCAAGGATTTGTTTATGTTATTTATTTGAAAGGCAGACTGACAGAGAGAGAGGGTGAGACAGAGAACAGATCTTCCATCTGCTGGTTCACTCCCCCGAATGGCCACAACAGCCAGGGCTGAACCAGGCCAAAATTTAGGAGTTCAGAACTGTATCCGGGCCTTCCACATGGTGGGGGAAGGACATCCTCTACTGCTGTCTCATGTGCATTAGCAGGGAGCTGGATCAGAAGCAGAGCAGCTAGGAATTTGATAGGGGATGCTGGTATTGTAGGAACAGGTGACAGCTTAACCCACTACACTGTAATGCTGGCCCCATGACCTCAAGTCCTGACAACGCACTGGTGCTTGGTTTTCATGTCTAAAGACATTTTCTGATGAAGACATCTCCATGCTCTTCGGTAGGATCAAAGGGTGCTGCAACCAAGGAACAGGCTAGTGCACATGGCCAACAAGAAAACTAGTAGAAGGGGATCATAGTATGACAAACAAGTGCCCCTGGATTTGCAAACCTAATGTTAATTGTTCTTTCTTTTGTGTTATACCTCTAGATCTCCAGTTCCAAAACCATTTTTCTTCTTGTATCTCCCCAAAACTTTCAAAGTAAGAGGGACCCTTTAATTTGTTTATTTTTATTTTTATTTTTTTGACAGGCAGAGTTAGACAGTGAGAGAGAGAGAGAGAGAGAGAAAGGTCTTCCTTTGCCATTGGTTCACCCCCCAAGTGGCTGCTATGGCCGGCACGTTGTGACCAGCGTGCTGTGCCGATCCGATGGCAGGAGCCAGGTGCTTCTCCTGGTCTCCCATGGGGTGCAGGGCCCAAGCACCTGGGCCATCCTCCACTGCCTTCCCGGGCCACAGCAGAGAGCTGGCCTGGAAGAGGAGCAATCTGGACAGAATCCGGCGCCCCGACCGGGACTAGAACCCCGGGTGCTGGCACCGCAGGTGGAGGATCAGCCTAGTGAGCTGCGACACTGGCTGACCATTTAATTTGTTACTGTATAGCCAATAGTTTCTTAAAGATTTTGTAAGAGTTTTGAGCTACAAATTACATTTTGAAGGTGTTATACAGATTTTTTGTTTTGGAGACTCTAGTCTTGACAAACCCCTTTATTATATTGTTTATTCAATCAAAAAGAGGAAGAACTGTTCATGAACATG